AAACACAATAGCCACCATCTGCTGCAGAGCGGCGTTTCGGCTCCGCAAACAGGAGCGCGGCTGCAGATGCATCAATAATAGGACGCTTATCAAGGCATCATTATCCACCAAGCAGGGGAAAAATTGAAATTTATGGCCAGCTAGAGAGCACTTCATGGTTTAATTCCCCAATTTTCAGTGGTATGTTTAATAACTAGGAGAGAGTAGCGTTTTATGTTCCTGCCGTTGGAAAGGATTTTTGAAAATGAATTTATTTGCAGTCTCCCAGTCCTTTTTGCTTCTGACTGATCTGAGCATAGCACATTCATTTTTACATAGTCAGGATAAAACCAGCAAGATATTAATTAATTTAACCTGTTGATCCAAGAACACCATGTTTAATTGACCTTACGCTCAATTTGCTTGAATGAACTTATACTTTTCTGTCAAATAAACATAAAAAAGAAGTTTTATCCAGCATAGATAATTTTTTCCTCCAAATTTCATTTTTTTTTTCAGTTTAGTGTAGTGTTGGAAACTTGAACTTTTGTAAGGAAGTGAACAAAACAATGAAACTCGATATTTTCGTTTCTTTTTTTCCCCAATTGGATATGCAACAGTCAAAACAAGAGTTTCTCCAAGATACCTTTTGTTTTATTCATATTCTTGCCTGGAGACATTCAGGAGGCTTTCAGTCATCTATTAGTCAATAATTTCCATTTGTGACATGTTAATTCATTCCTTAGTCCTTTGTATGAGTGGAAACTGTGACAAGTGATTTGTTGGTGCCAGAGCAGATTGTAACTCTTTTATTTGCACATATAGGCCTATAAATTGAGAATAAGTCCCATCAGCTTCAGCTCTGTGCTCAGCCTAAAGAAGGCTGTCAGACCCTAAATCACAATATGTCAATTTTCATTAAGGATAATGAGGAAAACCACATTTGTCTTTAAAAGGCTGCCTTGTCTTTCATTTGTTTTCTCCTGGTGGGAGCTGTTTTCATGATCTCTCACCTACTCCTAAGTGATGGATCTTGCCCACACAAGTTCCACAGACAAATTTGGAAATTTGTAATAGGACAGTGGATCTCTTGATCTGTTGATCTTGGACCATGCAGAGCAACTTTGTGAAGGTCCTGGAGGACAGGATGCCTGTTCAAGTTCACACTGTAAAAATAAAAGTAAAATTAAAAAAAAAAAAAGGAAAAAAGTCTATTTGGGGTCAATTTATAGGATATAGGGTATAATTTATTCACATCTGAATTTTATATTAAAAGAATTTTATATATTTATTTATATTTTATATTTTATAAAATATAAAATATTTTATATAAATAAACAATATATATATATATATATATATATAATATTTATATTTTATTTATGTCAGTGATTACCTTGATGGAATTACAAGTTTTCAGCCCCTAGGCTGGCCAGGCTTGAGGTGTTTCTCTGGATCCTGTGGGGTGAGCTGTGCCTGGGGTATCCCAGGGAAGGGTTTGTGGGGAAGCTCCAAGGCTCTGCAGAAAGAAAGGAACTGAGGTAGAGTTCTTAGGGAACAAATCCCTTTAAACAAGGTGTGAGTTCTTTTCTCTGGCAGAGATGGCTCTGTAAAGGGGATATTTTTCATCTTTTCAGCTGTCATAAAATAATACCTCTTATCAGGACTTTGCTTGATAAGTTGTGTTTCTTATAGGATTTCCTGCTGTATCTCTACACACATTGTATTAAACAAAATCAGATGCTATAAATAGGAAGCTGGGAATAATTTATCCATGGCAATTCTTTGCAAGGTTATTTTTTTTAGTAATTAAGACAAATTATTTTGATAAGTGCTTTTTGGTGGATAGGTATTCTTCTTGTTGGTGTTGTCACTTGCTGGATTCAGGTAGCCCACTCTCCGCAGAACTGTCAGCACTTGCACAAAAGGCCATGAATAGCTTGTGATTCATTATTTTGTGGGTGGCAAAAAATAAAATTGTAATTATTGCTTGGAACTTTTTTCTAAAAGCTGATGTTTTCTCTCCCAGAGGAAAGCTCGTTATTTTTATATATGGATCTGTAAAAGTGAAATACTCCCTAACTTTTGCTGTCATTGAAGCACTTCCCTCCCCCAGTGCAGTTCAGGGCTGCATTGTGTTAGACACAGCACAGATCAGAGCAGTTCTTTAGGGCAGGAAAATTCACATACTGTCCAAATTAAAGAGAGAAAAGTTGAGAGGCATGGCCTGGAATGCTGTGCCAGGTGCTGTGCAATCAATTGTGGTGTAAAAATCCCTTTTCCTGGGTGCCTCCCCACTTGGTCAAAACCCTTGTGAATGCACAGGGGCTCTGCTGTTCTTGGAGTGATTCTGGGCTGCACCTGCCTCCTCCAGGGTGGGGTCTGGCACATGGGGAACTTGTCTGCACTGTACTCCAGTGGCTCTGAAATGCCTCAGGCAGAGCCTTTCCCAGCAGCTCTGGACTCCTGCAGAGCATGCCACCCTTACTCAGGGGTTTTACAGTGTCTTCCCTCCCAAATTCTCTGGAGTGGTTCTTGCAACTCTGTACTGACAGAGATCCTGGAATCTCACAATGGCTTGGGTTGGGAGGGACCTTAAAGCCAATTTAAGGCAGGGACACCTTCCACTGTCCCAGGCTCCTCCAAGCCCTGTCCAGCCTGGCCTTGGGCACTGCCAGGGATGCAGGGGCAGCCCCAGCTGCTCTGGGCACCTGTGCCAGGGCCTGCCCACCCTCACAGGGAACAATTCCTTCCCAATTTCCAATCTAAATCTCCCCTTCTTCAGCTTAAAGCCATTCCCTCTTATCCTCTCCGTCCATCCCTTGTCCCCAGTCCCTCTCCAGCTCTCCTGGAGCCCCTTTAGGCACTGGAAGGTGCTCTAAGGTCTCTCTGGAACCTTCTCTTCTGCAGGTGAACCCGTCCCAGCTCTCCCAGCCTGGCTGCAGAGCACAGGGGCTCCAGCCCTGGTGGATCCGGGTGTCCCACTCAGGCTGCCCAAGCCTGGCTGGGCCAGGTTCCCAGGCTGCTCCCTCAGCTGGCAGCCTGTGCTGCCTCTCCAGGCCTGCTGGCACCTGTGCTTGCTGAAAATAAATGTTCTCATAGGAACTGAACCCAAATTTCAGTTTCTCAAAAGTTTAGTTTATGTGAGTAGATTTTTAAGAGTAGTGTGTATACATTACATGCTGAAGAAGAGGATTTTATGAGCAGAGTTACATCAGCAATGGGCATTTGTCAAGATCCTAATTTTTAGACCAAAACCTGAAAGTTTGGATTCAGCTCTAACATTTCTCCAAGTTCTTTTTGAGAATCTGGAATTTCTTGACTTGGGACCATTTTGTTTTTTGTTTTTCCTTCATTTCCACTGAAAGGCAGCGTTGCCAGAGACCATCTTGCCTATAAATTTTCTTAGAGTTTCTTCCTCTTCCCCATCTGTGCTTGCATTGCACTGGAATTTTCCAAGGTCTTTAGAGTGTGTAACTTCATTAATCTATTTTTTTTAAAGACTGACTTCCTCCTGTTGATCCTTTGCAAAATGAATATATATCATATAAACAAGGGGGAAAATTTTTCTAGGAGAAAGTTGCTTGTAGCTGTTATAAATTTATAATATATGACTGTTCACAGCGCAGAATTGATCCAAATGTTTGCCTGGCTCATCTGAGTCACGTGCTATGGTGAGGAAAAGGGAAAGTCAATAGGTCAGAAGTGAGGCAGGGCTTTTCAAACTCAATCTTCTGTGAACTGCAAGAGGCCAGCACACAAACACATCTGCAGTGTGGCTTGGCAGCAGCATCAGAGCCAGGAGTGTCAAGAGGGCTGTGTTTGATTAAAAATTATCACGCCTGGCTGCTGACACACAGATTCCCCCTGCCCCATCCCACTGTTTGCTTTAGTTCTTTCTGAGTGTGAGTGTCTGCACCCACATAAAGGAGATCCTGTAACCAGAATTGAATCAAATAACTCTCATCATGTTCTCCCTTATTGCTGACATTTGTCACCTTGATGCATCTGCGAGGAGATGAGTGGAGACACAATGTGCTATAAAATAACTGCTTGATGAATCCAAATGCAAGTTCAACATTGAGTGCCACAGTTAATATGATGCAGACTTCCAGGTTAACAAACTCATAAATTGCCTCAGTATACATTTCCCTCCCTAAATTCAGCCTATCCTTCCCTCCTACATGAATTATTGTCCTGTTGCATTATCACAAGTAAAGATGTTGCTGTTCTGTCGACAACCCTCACTTGGTTGGGCTCTGAAAATTGGGGTTTTCTTAACATGACCTTCAAATATTCAGGTACCAGGGTTCACAGGTATGGACTGGCATGAAGGGTGTTGGTTGATGCAGGCAAATATCAGCTGAGAGCTTGCTCTGTTGTAGCTTTTGTGTTGAATCATAGAATTGTTAAGGTTGGAAATTACTTTTATACATCATCAAATCAACCATCAACCCTACACCGTGCTCACCACTAAACCACATCCTCAAGCACCACATACACACTTTTCTTGAACACTTCCAGGGATGGTGACTCCTCATTCCATTCCAGTGCTTTCCAACACTCCCGTGAAGAATTTTTTCCCAATACCCAATCTAAACCTCCCCTGATGCAACTTGAGGCTGTTTCTTCTCATCCTGTCGCTTGTTCCCTTGTATTGAATGTGCCTTTGGGGCACAGTGTGCAGCAGGGGAACCTGGTTGTTTCCTGAAGTGGGAATATGCTTTTGTTTAGAGCGACTGTGTGATCACAAGGTGATAAAATAACACAAGCAAGCCAGCATTTCTATTTTGATTTGCAAGTTATTTAATTAAAGTGGTTCTAGCTAGCCCTGAATCTACTGGTGTAAATACCCTGCAATTTTAATATCCTTTCTCTCCCTAACAACTGGCACCAAACAGCTGCTTCCTTCACAGGAAGGTTTGTTTTGTGGGTGGTAAAAGGCTGAATTTTCGAACGGAGCTGTTTACACCAAAAATCCAAGCAAACCCACTCTGTTCTCTTTTTCCTTTGCTCTGCAGGCTCCTTCATGATGGTGAACAGCTCTGGGAGAGCATCAGGGCAGAAAGCTCACCTGCTGCTGCCCACTCTGAAGGAGAATGACACCCACTGCATCGACTTCCACTATTACCTGTCCAGCCGCGACCGCTCCAGCCCCGGCTCCCTCAACGTCTACGTCAAGGTCAACGGGGGCCCCCAGGGCAACCCCATCTGGAACGTGTCAGGAGTGGTGACCGAGGGCTGGGTGAAGGCAGAGCTGGCCATCAGCACCTTCTGGCCACATTTTTACCAGGTAGGGGTTTGGAATATTTTTCCCCTCTCTCTCCTTTGTTAGTTTTGAAAATCGACACCTCCCTCCCTGAATTTTCCTCTCAGTATAAATTTACCTATAGTGGATATATAGGCAGGTTGAGTATTTCTTTCCTCCTCACTTTTTTCTTTAGTTGTTGGCAGGCCACAGACTGATGGATGGGAGGCAATTATTGACAAGACCCACTTGTGGTGAAATTGCCACTTGTATTGGCACTTTCCGTGGCACTGTGTGACTGCAAACAAAACAGTTTCTGGATGTGTATCTCTACTCTGTATAAATCTCCCAGGATTATTTTTGGACCTTGGTTGGTTCCATAGGAAGGAACATTTTTTGACTGGGCTTTGCATCTTGTGCCCATACAGGGGGTATAAGGACATAAGGTACTAATAAATTCTTGTACCACAGTATCATATGTGGATATTCTTCACTAGATCCTCAGCTCCTCCTTTTTCTATCACAGCTTTATTTATTCTGTTAGAAGATATTTTTTTTAGACTAGGACAAAGCCAAGGAAAGTAATGGCTATGCTATTTTTTTTTGTTATATTAGTTTTACACCAACTTATTAGTTGCCTGCTTCAAATTCATTTGGCAACTTTGCAGCCATTGTTTTAATTTCAGTTAGATTATTCACACACAATGGACTCACATACTGCTTTTTACTGGTTGAAGGGGTACTTTTGTCTTGTTTTATATTCAAGACACACACCAAAAAGGAAAAAAAAAAGCCTGGGAGGTAATTGCATCCTAAACCTTGCAGGAGATTTGATGTCCATGTGATACTAATAAAAGCCATGAGTGAGACAGGCACCGGGATAGAATGAACTATGAAAAGGCTGCAAATAGTCTGTGTATAAAAACCAGCAGGTAGAAAAGCCTCTCTTTTTCTTGCTTCTAATAACTGGGTAGGAGGTCTGTAAAATCTGAGCTGGAGGAAGATGCTTTAATGTTCTGCCTCTGAAAGAGTTGTGGATACCAGCAGAATGCACAGAGTGCACCAGGCGGGAGAGAGGGAAGGATAAAGAGATGCAAATGTGTGGAAAATGGTGTTTTAAGGGCAGTGCACAACTTGTGACTGTTCTGAAGGCACACTGGAGTGCTCCTACTCCATTCATATTAACATGATCCTGGGCATGAAGCAGAATTTCCTTCATCCTTGGTGCTCCACAGAGATAACAGAAATGATCTTTCACCCAGAAAATCGGTGCTTGAAAAACCTGCAAAAGGCAGTCTGATCTCACACTAAGAGGGATCCTGCTCTCAGATATATCAATAGGAGGCTTCCTGAGCCTCACTTAGGTCTTTTACAAGTACTTTGGCAGGTCAAGTTTGCTTTTCTTGAGCAAAAGATTCCTTTAAATCAAACAAGAATTTTCTACTGAAGCACAAAACTGAATGGATTGGAAGGCAGCAGTACCTGCCCAGGAGTAGTTCCTTCCTAGAAAATGCAAGAGGCTTCTTTTTAAATTTGTGATGAGTGAGAGTGATATCTTCTGGTCATCCTTGTATTTTTGTTTCTTAAGTGTAGCTTTTAAAATTTGAGATCTGTCCTGGATATTATGGGGGTCTAGTAGACTGATTTCAGCCTCTGGTTTTATAAATCACCTTGTTGGTGGTCTGTAGTCCTGTGAGTTTCTACATTTAAGCAAGGTTTAAGAAAAAGTAAAAAGAAAAAAGAGAACTTGAAGCTTGAAAATAGGAAAATTATTGGTATTTGCCAGCCTAAATTAACACTTCTGCCTAAATAAGTCCAGAGGTGGGAGGATGACAAAACTTGGGTGTGTTGCTGCTTGAGAAGTGTCTTGTTTTTCACACTCCTGATCTAGAATGTGCCATTGCAGTGTTATTTAATAAAATCCTGGCAGGGCTCGGGTTAGAAGGGACCCCAAAGATCATCTCATTCCACCCCTGCCATGGCAGGGACACCTCCCACTGTCCCAGGTGCTCCCAGCCCTGTCCAGCCTGGCCTTGGGCACTGCCAGGGATCCAGGGGCAGCCCCAGCTGCTCTGGGCACCTGTGCCAGGGCCTGCCCACCCTCACACTTGCCATTTCTTTGTCAGCTTTAAATCAAAATTGCTTTCCAGGAGAACACTCTGCACACAAGAAGCCTGACAGCCTGTTCTGTATTTTGAAAAGACCATGCAAAACTCCTAATGCACAGAAACCACACCATCCTGGACTGGGATGTGCACCAAAAATTCAGCCAGGCAGAACAATCTGAAGCTCTCTGCCCTGATCCAAGGCTTTGTCAAGTACTTTGAACTTTGGAGATGTGGCTAGTGGAAAACTGGGATGCAAAGCAGCTGCCAGGGGTTGTGTTTTAGGTGTGTGCAAGGGTCATAGGAGTCATCTGGCTGCAGAAGCACTTAGCTGAGACAGAAAAACGTGGGGGGATTTATCATGTCTACCCTGGAGTTACTTGTACTTGGATTCCCAGCCTGCAAATGTTTGCCAGCGTAGCGAGAAAAAGCTCTAATGGTTCTTGGAGAAAGGTAATACGTGTAATCTTGAATTACTGCTTGCCATAAGGATGAACTCAGTCCCAGAATGCACCAAGGGCAGCACTAGAGCCTGCCAGGAAGGTGTTTTTTTGATGTATAGCAAGGAATGTTATTGATCCATGCCTGGAGAAAAGTGTTGTAGCACAACAGATGAGCTGGGCTAGGCTGCTAACACAGACATTGTTGGTAAATCACAGCTGCAACGGGGGCTTGTTCAGGGGGAAGGAAACATGAAATGACTTTGTATTTGGAGAGCTCAGGAGCATTTAAGAATGCTTTTTTAAGAGTGAAGCTTTGTGTTTTGTCAACTGTATTCATTTCTGTGGTGTTCTTTAACTGCAAAGCATTATTAATTGCAAAGTATTGCCTGTCTCAACCATCATGCTGCGTTTCCAGCTGGATTTAAAAGGACATGAGGGACACTGAGCATGAGATTTGCAGAAATGGGCCCCATAAACATTTTTTTCCTGCCTTTTCCTCATGTTGGGGCTCAATTGTCAGTTTTCAGGAAAGCCTAGGTGCTTCCATGCTTCTCACTTTGATAGGGATGAGATGCTTCAAAATACACAAAAAGACAATAATGTGTAAGTTTGAACTGGGAAAGGGCTGGGAATATCTGAGTGTAAAGCAGAACAGAATAAAATAGTCAAACAATATTGCTTGAATTGAGAGGAGTCCTCTACTCAGTGGATTCTGCACCAGTGGATAGAGATTCTTTTAGGGGCTGGGTTGGTTATTATAAAGTTAGACTGTGCTGTATAAAACTCTGCACATGTTGGTGATTAACCAAAGCCAATTTTCTTTGTATTGGTGCTTACTTTTGCCATCCACTCATACCTGATGCCAGTGCCTTTGAGAACTTATCAAGTTCTTGACTTGCAGATAATTGAGAATTACTTTGTTGTGACTTGTGACTTTTCACAAATGTAAAACCAAAATAAGATTTTGTAGCTGAAATGTTGCACTTGAATTCAGGTCTGAAGGGAGTTGCAGTAGAGCCTTGCATGACCTTCCCAGTAAATGTAATTTGTATAATGAATGATATTTAATTGCTAAAGTAATTATAATTTCCATACTAAAGACTCCTATTTTATACCCTTATTTTATACAGTCCCTAAAAAGCCTATCAAGGACCTTGATAACACAAACCACTTGCTAATGGTTTTTGGATGACTTTCTCTTCCAGTGGCTTGCTTCTTCCAATATTTCCTGGGCAGCCCAATTGTTGTCCAGTCCCCTCTGGAGGAGAACTTTGTTTCTGCATATTATTAGCACCTGAGCTTTTCTTAACTTGTCTTTGCCTGTTTTTATGTCCTTTTTTTTTCCTTATGGATGTATTTCAGGAGATCTCACCTCTGTCTGTGTTTTGAACTGGGGGAGGAGATCTTAGGAAGTCATGAAAACATAAGAAACCATGTTCTGGAAGCCCAAATGCAAAGAAAAATGAACATCAGCAATTCTGTAGTTAGAAAGGATATTTTTGGACTATTTTTATCCAGGGCAATATTTGGACAGTTGAACACTTCACTGCATTAAATCTTTTGATGAAGGAGATAAAGAAGAGGCTGAACAGTGACAGGCTGGGAATGCCAGCTCTTATTTAGAACAAAAAGACCTGTTGAACACTGGTTTTAAATAGTTAACTCCGTGTTCTAGTAGGGAATTTTAGAAGTTACAAATGACTAGAATGCATGGTCACTGATTCAGGAAGAGGATTCTGACTCCTGTAGTGCTTTATCCAATTTTCCAAGGCATACTGAGAGCAAGATATCAGATTTTTTTTCCCACTTAATGTTCTTGGACTGGTGCTTAAGAGAATATAGGTGTGTACATACACCCAGGGCACTTATTGCTTTTCCAAACCAGAGATGTACAGAGCTGTCTTTAATCCTATTGAATGTTGCTCTAATCCTTTCTTTTGCTTCCCCCACAGATTTGGTGTTGCACTCACACACTGAATTGCCCTGGTATCCCTTCATTGTTAATAAAATGCCTTGAATGACTCAGACTTGGAATAACAGCAGAATGTGGTGACTGCTGAAATTACTGATGCAAATGTTCTTTCTCAGATATTTTTTTTCTTTTGTATTTCAGGTGATATTTGAGTCTGTCTCTTTGAAAGGACACCCTGGGTACATAGCTGTGGATGAAGTCAGAGTCCTCGCCCATCCCTGCAGTGAGCACTCTTTATTTTTCTGACTGTACCAGCATGGTGTAGGCCACAATTTGTAGTCTAAAGGAGAGATTTACCCAGTTGGGTCAGCACTAAAATGTCTTGTCTCCCTCCAAGACCCCCAAGGACAGTCAGCCTTGCTTAATTTCCTACTTTTGCAAATTGTACAAAAGGCAAAGCTGCTCTCAGTTCATGGCTAGTGGAATTCTCTCTACTTGCTAATAAAGTTATGGTTTTATTGTTTCTTAATCTTATTGCTGTAGAAAACAATCTAAAATGCTTCTCATAATAACTTTAGAAAAGAACAACCAAATTGTTTCAGTGTTTCCTTGGTAAGAGGCCTGTCCCAAAGGTTGGTTGGTTTCAATGTATTAGATCTGCTCAGAAAGCTGTGCAGAGATTAAAAATTAATCTTATTCAGACACTGCACTTATACAGGAGTAGAAACTAATGCAGGTTCATTACACTATTCAAAAATGTTAGGGTTGCATTTCTTCTATTGCAGACACAATTCCACAAAGATACTGCAACAAGAAGCTGAGATTTATTTACTTTTTTATGTTTAAAGAAACATTGTGCCTCAGTCTTTGAGTCTGAACTTGTTTGGTTCCTTTACCCACCTTCAGTGGGGCTTGAGGACTTTGTATATTTTATGGATGTAATGTACAGTTCCATGTAAAGATCTTTTTTAACAGCCCCTCTTTCTGGCTCATGGTTTCAGTGACTCAGTGACAGCTGCTCACAAAAAATTGATGGATCTTATAGATGGAGTGCAATCAACTGTTTTTGCTGTGATCAGAATGTCAAAGAACATCTGCCATTCAATGTGACAGACATGGTTCTGCTCAAGTTTAACAGGACATTCCTGATAACTGCAGTATGCTTAATTGCTGCTTAAGTAAATTATATTTGTATTTACCATGTGCTCATTGCTCAGGCCTTTGGGTGCATTTACTTCATTAAGGAATACTTACATTCTGTATTAACCAGATGTTGCTGATAACTGGCAGCATCCAGACAAATCTCCAAATGCTCTGTGCCTTCCACAGTGTGTTGGGTGATTGCTGGTCCCTTCACTGGGACAGAGGCCACTAAACAAACCCTGGGGCAGAGCCTCAACAAGAAAATGATGGGATTTAAAGCAGTTAGGCAGGATGCTGTGTTGTATCCCTGCTTAATTAGGTAAACTGATTTTGAATCCATTTCTTCAAGTATATACAGCTCCTTGTCAAAATTAAATGCATTCTTGGTGACTCAGCAACAAAATGTTTGAAACAGATTTGGTTGGTTGGGATTTTTTTCAGTCTGTTTGCAGCCCCCAGCATACAGAGCTCATTGCAAGCTGAAGTTCTCTGCAGTCTCTGTAAATGCTGCTCCTGTCTGGTTCCCAGTGCTGCTTTTGTTGTTCAGCAGTGTCAGGCACCAGGGTGAACATCACCCATGTGTTCCCTTCCCTTGTACAGCCTTTGCCCCTCAGATTCCTTTTACAATTGTTGTAAATCAAAACACGGGGGCAGTGAAGCTCCTGGTGGCCCTGGATGTTACTGAAATCATTGGTCTTATTTCTTCATTTCTGCTTAACCTTCACAGATGACAAAGGCAGGCAAACCAGTCAGCAAAAAGCAGTGAAATGCCCCTAATGACACAGTGATACAGAAAAATAAATGTATTGCTGGTGCTGCCTCTTGTTTTCCTTTGTCCTGTGAAGCAATACACTGGAATATCCATTTTTCTTATGCTAAAAATCCATTGGCTCTGTGTGAATGACCCCTTGCCACCACAGCACATCTTGCTCCAGAAGCTGGGCAGCCCCAAGGACCAGGATGTTGGCACTGATGGGACTCCACACCTTTGTATTTGTAGCTGACTGAAAGCTGCACACTTTAGGATGCAGGCACAAATATTAGAATTATCTGAAATACTCTGTGGAACGTTCTGAATGTCACCTGGAGGGAGTTTTCCAGTAAAGCTTGGTGCAAATCCCTGCTGCCCAGAAAGCAGGATGGTGCAAAGTCCCTGTCCTTCAGGAGCTGCCAGGGAGCTGTGCTGGATGGGGCACAGGAGCAGATAAAAACATCTGACATGGTGTCTGAACATGTGCTCTCTGTTCATGTGTCAAACACTTGCACATCAAGTTTCAACCATGCATGCCCACAGATGCCCACTTCCCTTTAAAGCTGTTTGCTCCAACAGAAGAGAGGTTATATTGTCCTCTGAAATGATGTATTTCAGTGTTTAATCATACTAGAAAACGTGCAGATATTGTTGAAAAACACTGACCTTTTAGGTGTTTTTTCAGAGTATCACGCTAAAAGTTTTCAAATGATGCACAAACCTTTTTCTGCAAAAAAATAGTTCACTTAAAGGTGTTGCATTTGCTGCTGTAATCTTGTTTATACTTTAAGTTAAATAGAGACCTAAGTCAGTCTGATATTTAATCAAAAAGATAATCCTTTCATCTAGTTTATTTGTGAAAAAACCCAATGTCTGCATTTCTGATATCACTGGTTTCATTTTGAACTAATGCTGAATTTAGTGTCAGCAAAACATTGATCTTATCAGTGATCTTAAACTAAACCAGTGATACAATACTGTCAGTTAAATGAATATTGCATTTAATATCTGATTTTATATTGATGAAGCATTATTCTAAAGGTCTAGGACGTATTTGATAGTCAAGAAAAGAAAAATAATAAAAGATTCTTGTGAAAATGGGGTTTGGGTCAGTCATGCTTGACAAGCACAAAAGCATTTGACTTTTTTTGACCTTTTTAGAAACATAGTTTTGTGAAGAAAAGAGATGACTCAATTACTCTTTATAGCAGGCAATAAGAAATTGTGCCAGTGACCATGAACTTGTGATTTGATCCAAATCTGTATTTTCAGAGGTGCCAGGCCTCTCTAAGATCCCTCAGGCCATCTTTTCCCATCTCCATCCCCACTTCTCCCTACAAGGAGCAGTTAAATACCCAAGGGCAGCTTTGTTTTGCAAAGCCACCATTGCAAAGGCTTTGCTGGGTGCTTGGGTGGGTGCAGCAGGGGTGGTTCCTGCCTGGCTCTACCCTTGCCATCCTCTGTGACCGTGTTCACAGGGGTCTGAGGATGAGGGAAGAGATGAGGATCTGACTCCATGTTTCAGAGGGCTGATTTATAATTCTATGATATATATTATATTAAAACTATGCTAAAAGAATAGAAGAAAGAATTTCATCAGAAGGCTGGCTAAGAATAGAATAGCAAGGAATGATAACAAAGGCTTGTGGCTCGGCCAGAGGGTCTGAGCCAGCTGGGCTGTGATTGGCCATTAATTAAAAACAACCACATGAGACCAATCCCAGATGCACCTGTTGCATTCCACAGCAGCAGATAACCATTGGTTACATTTTGTCCCTGAGGCCTTTTAGCTTCTCAGGAGAAAAAAAATCTTAAAGAAAGAATTTTTCAGGAAATATCATGGCTACAATCCTCTGCCTCTTTTGTCAGGAAAAGCCCCGCATTTCCTGCGGCTGCAGAACGTGGAGGTGAACGTGGGGCAGAACGCCACCTTCCAGTGCATCGCCGGGGGAAAGTGGTCACAGCACGACAAGCTCTGGCTCCAGGTAAGCCAATGGATTTTTGTGGTTCCTTTGGGGCTTTCTTTGCTTTTGCAAGTGAAGTAAATAGCTGGAGAAAGGTTGGTGATGAGGCAAAATCTTCTCATCAAGATCCTTTGAAGAACTGCCGTAAATCGCTTATAGGTGAGAGTTAGAGGTGACAAAGTATGGAATTAGGAGACAGAAAAAGGAAAAAATGGCCAGTGACAGCAAAATTCTGGTTTCAAACAAATGCCCATGTACCTGTAAACACTCAGCCATAAAGCAGAAGGGAGAGGAAATGGAACAGATCTCTTCTGCTTTATTATGCCATCTGCTTTCCTTTCACCCTAAAAGTGTTCTCAGCTTGGAGTCAGTGATAATTGTTAAGAAGGAAATCTCCAAGGTCTGAAATTACTTACCTGGCTGGTTAAAATCAGGCAATCCCAGTTTGCACCCAGTTCTTCTTGCTCCCAGTTTCCCTTGGCTGCATTGACAGCTGATTTGGTCTTGTTCCTCTTAGTCACTCACTAAAAGAGTAAAACATTCCCTCCCTGGATGCTTTATTTGCAGCCTACTGATCAAACTTGTCTGGGTCCTGCTCTTCTGGTGGGTGCAGCAAAAACTTTGGGAATTCACTGTCAGTGTTAGAATTGACATCAACCCCAACATCAGCACATGAGGTGTGTGTTTTTACCAGTGAAGGACACAATAACTTCTCCTGCCCCTTGAATTTCTCTGATATGTGGACACTCAGCATTACCATTCCAGAAGCTTTTAAAATCATTGAATTCCTAAATGTTTAACTCCTAAACAAGTCAAGAGGATTCTTGTTGCATGTACACAAAGCCAACATAATTTGGAGAACACTAAAGCCAGTCCAAAAGTTTTATTCTCAGCTTGGAATGATGTGCCAGAGGGTTTGATCACCCTGTAGTTGTAACATCTGGGGCAGACAGGAAGAGCCTTTATAGTCAAATAATTGCCAGGTTTTATCAAATTTTATAATTGACTTTAGGCATTGTAATAAAATTGAAAAATAACATTTTCAAATCTAGCTTAAATCAAGGAATTGGCTTATCTAATCATAAAAATTAAAAATAGTACTGGGAAAAAGGCTTAAGTTGGTGAGACATGTAGTTGGCATTATGTAAAAATCATTTTATATTCAGTAACTATGCTCTCATCACAGCTGTTCTTCTAAAAATTGCATTTTTAACTTAAATTTATTTACCTATGGTGTATGTCTAGCACCCACTGATATATATTTTTCACTTATTTTATCTTTTTTTGGTTTTTTCATTAAAATATTTCACCACTTACAATTAGGTGTGTGTAAAAACAATTCTGACCTGCAGCAATATGAACCTTTCCCTGTGAGAAGCAGAGTTGGGGAGGAAAGAATTGCTATTGTTAATGAAAACCTGCTTTTCATTCTCTAAAACTGCAACATTTAATGAAAATAGCCTTGGAAACACCTCTAATAACTGTTTAGCGGAAACTGCCAAAACAGCAATGTGCTTTTCTTTAAAATTCCTAACAAACTGGACAAATGAGCAAGTTGAGGTGTTTATACTGTGGAGAACAATTTCTGGCTAATTCTTTGTCTGTCCCTTTTCCAGTTGGAAAAATGTGGTCTGGCATGGGTAGAGAGAGCATTATTGGGGAATGCTGGATATACAAGGATATCTGCTCATCCAACCAATTTATTTAAATTGGTCCAGAATCAGAGTTTTGCATCTGAAAAGGCCAAATTTACAGAATCTGTTCATTTGTAGTGTTTGTAGGTGAACACAAAGCCTTCAGCTGTTGTGTTTTCTCATCCAAGCCAGGCCTCTAATGACACTGGGTAAAAGTGCACAGTGGCAGTCAGAGCTGCCCCTCTGCAGCCTTTCCAGGAATTCATCTTAGAGTCACAGAATGTCCTGAGCTGGGAGGGACCCCCAGGATCACCCATGGCAGCCCCAGCCCTGCCCAGACACCCCAACAGCCCCACCCTGGGCATCCCTGGCAGCTCCTGGAGCTCTGGCAGCCTCGGGGCCGTGCCCATTCCCTGGGCAGCCTGGGCAGTGCCAGCACCCTCTGGGGAAGAGCCTTTCCCTGGGATCCAGCCTGAGCCTCCCTGGCACAGCTCCAGCCATGCCCTGGCTCCTGTCCCTGGGCACAGAGTTCCTACTCTGACCAAGCCAAGCATCCTCAGTGTCCTGCCCCTCATATGGGCTCCCTTCCAGACACTTTACCCTATTACCCTCTGTATCCTTAGAACACACCAAAAGCCCAGATATATCTCAAATATTAAATAGAAATGCAAACTTAAATATATCATAGAATCACAGTTTTGGGTTTGAAAGGGACCTTAAAGCTCATCCAGTTTTGGGCAGGGACCTTCAACTCCGAGCCCCATCCCACCTGGCTTGGACACTTCCAAGTATCCAGGGGCACCCACAGCTTCTCTGGGCACCCTATGCCAGGGCCTCAGCACCCTTTTATTTAGGGCCCAGCTCACACAGCCCTGTGGATTTCCTGAGGGAATGGCTGAATTCTTTCCTTGAAAAGCCGTGCTTGTCCAAAACCTCTCCCAGCAGCACGAACACAGAGCTCTGAGCACGTTAATCGCCCCAATGAGCCACTCACACACAGACACATCAACACCTCACCTACCTGCCCCCATGATGGCATCATTTCTCTCTGCCTCTGCAGCAGTGGAACGGGAGGGACACAGCCCTGATGGTCACTCGAGTGGTCAACCACAGGCGTTTCTCAGCCACGGTCAGCGTGGCCGACACGTCGCAGCGCAGCATCAGCAAGTACCGCTGCGTCATCCGCTCCGACGGCGGCTCCGGCGTCTCCAACTACGCCGAGCTCATCGTCAAAGGTAGGAGCAGCAAACCGTGTTCATGCACAAGGAGTGTTTCTTCTCTGTCACTGTCATATTTTCTGAAAAATCTCTTTGCCCAGGATTTCTGCTCCTGGGAAGGTGAGAAACGGCAAAGAAAAATGAGAACAATAATTATCTGATTTGCTTCTCCTGTGTTTTGCTGCTTTGGAATGTGGTTTGGACATTGTTTAGCAACTGGTTATTGTTTTATTAGTTTAATGTGAATTGTTTTAACTTAATGACCAATCACAGCCAGCTGTGTTCCTTAGACCTCTGTGTCTCCAGGGCTCAGCCAGCCCTGCCTGGACCTGCAGGACATCCCCATGGCTTTTGCACCTCCACTAATGTTCCTTAGCCCCAAAAGCACCTTCCCATTTTACCAGCCCATCCTGTACTGACTCCAGGGGGTTCGACACCCTCCCTGTGATTTCCACCAGTATTTATATTATAATTGTTCAAGCTTCATGTCACTCATTAATCAACCTTGAGCTTTACGCTGGGGCTCTTTCTGTGTGAATTTACTCTGGACAAGCAATTCCATCTCCACTCCCCATGGTGGGTGGTCCCAACCATCCCACAAATCTGACAGCCCTCCAAGCCCTGCCAGTGGGAACACGCCAGGAGGGCTTGCACATGTCAAGCAAAGTGGAGTGGCCTCATGTTGCTTTGCTGGGCGTGCTGGAGCCCATGGCAATGTGACAGCACCATGGGAGACACCCAGCAAGCCCTGGCACAGGTGGGAAGGAGATTCTGGAGATGCAGGCTGCAATGGAGAGCTGCTGCACCTGGCACTGCTGTACCAGCTGTGTCGAGGCTGTGGTGAGAGTCACAAGCTTTTCTTTAGTAACTTGTTAAGCCTTTTGTAAGTATCCTTTCTCTATTCTTTAGTATAGTTTAAGTATAGCATGATATGATATGATATAATATAATATAATTAATATATTAGCCTTCTAAGAACACAGAGTCAGATTCTCAATTCCTCCTCCATCTGGAGAACCCAGAAAATACCACAAGATAACTGTCTATAAAAACTGGCATTCTGTTGGACCTTCTTTTGTTTGTATTAAAATAAGGAAAAAGGGTGAAAGTGATGTGAGTTTAAGTCGGTATCTCGGGTATTTGAATTTGATCTTTGGACACAGCCTTCTTTGGAATGTTTTGTAGTAGAATCTGGTGGCTATGGAGGCTTTTGCTGTAGTCAGCTGAATAGTTTGGCTGTCAGTCAGCTTCACAAGCTGCTTTCCTTCCCAGTATTTTATCAGGCAGAAATAATCTTGTGGTGGAGCATTGCGTGTCAGCAGAGACTGTTCAGGGCTGCTGGCAGTAAATGCTGGGATTGATTCTGCTGACACCCTGAAGTCCAGAGTGGAAGCATCAGTAGTTCTTGAAGGGTGTTTGGATTTTAGCCATGTTAATTACCATGATTCAAGAGCCTGACACATGCAAGGGGTGTCTTAATCTCACCTTCCTGAGGCAGGTGGTGAAGTGCTATCCCCTATGCTGGGTTCTTATTTATTTCTTTTTTAAACCTACCTTGATCTGCACCACTGGAGTGCTCACTGACTCTTTGGTGGTGAGTTCAGAAGGTGGCTGAGTTGTTCCTGAGGTGCTCTGTGTTTGGGGTGAGAGGAATTTGAAGTCTGGGTCTGTTCACAGGATGTAATTTACTCATCTAAATGGAGGGTATGTAAACAGAGAGCAGCTGTAGAAATGAGATCAGGTTGTCCACTGCTGCTCTCTGCCAGCTGATCTGTCCTTTGGTGATCAGATGTCTTTGTTATGCCTTGGAATGTTGTGTGGTGCAGATGTTTGGACCACACAGATCACGAGGAGAATGCTTGTGCTGGATGCCAAGTGCTTTTCATTCCCACCCAGTGATCTTGTATCTTGCTCAAATCTGGAGGAATGAATTCAAGATTAAAAGGGGATTGAGCTGCCAGGAGTGGCACACCTAAGATTGTAGCACAGCTAAATAGAAGGAAGGCAACCTTCCAGGGCAAGCAGCTGTCAGAGCATTCCAGGCTCAGTTAGGTGCCTGGAATTCCCAGAATTCACAGAATTCTGGGAAGAGACCTTCAGGATCATCAAGTCCAACCCAGCCCCTCAACCAAACCCCTCAACTCAACCCTGGCACCCACTGCCACATCCAGGCTTTGTTAAACACCCCCAGGGATGGGGACTCCACCACCTCCCTGGGCAGCCATGCCAGAACTTTATCACCTTTCTGTGAAAAACATTTTCCTAATATCCAACCTGTATTTCCCTTGGTGCAGCTTGAGAACTTCATGTTTGTTGTTTTTGGAAAAAAAATAGAAGAATAAATTAAAACCATGTGTGGTTGGATGTCCAGCAGGAAAGATGCTGATGGCTTCATTACTGGGTTGCTCAGCAATGCACCCACCTGGAAGGAACTTGAACAGGGTCAAATTGTTGTGGGAAGGTCCCATCCTGCTCCTCATCCCTGATTAGGAAGCAGGTGAGGTTAAGTGGCTCATTTGAGGTCAGTTTGGTTCCACCCTGTGACACACTGGGCTTCCAACCAGCCTGACTAATTTTAGTGTGAAGAATAGCAAATTGGTAATGCATGTGCACAGGCGGAAATGAAAGCAAATTGGAATTGTTTAATTCTGAAGAGATGATTATTGAATTGTAATAATGTACTTGAGCATACATTCAATTAGCCTGTAATTGAGGTTTTGCTCAATTGATAGTCCTGCTCCTAAACCTGCTAAATCCAAGCTAAATCTCTGCTTCTCACATGCTTTCTCTTGATCAGAGGAACATAGAATCACAGGGTGTTTCTTCAACAAAGATTAAGATTTAAAATTGTGTTTTAATTGAAGATTTTAATTGAAAGATCTGTTTGCTTCCCTATGCATAAGAAGTTTTATTGGAGTATTTAGAACAGAAAGTACTTTACATTTCTCAGTATTGAATGAAAAAGTTTGGTAGATATCAAAAGAGAAGTTTTACTTTGAAATGTGCATACTCCTAAACCCCAAATTGGGCAGTAAATACCTGTTTCAGCAAACGGAATGATCAATGAACTTAAACACACCACCTTGATTGTCTGTGTGGCACCTTCACTAAGAGCAATGTATTATTGAAAAGAAATTACTGTCAATTTTATACAAAAGAATATAACAGTATTAGTTCCAAATTATTCCAGTATGTTTAGTGGCAGGAGATACATTTGTAATCCTGTGAAAATGCTGTTCTCTAGGCAGCTATTTGCTGGATGTGCTAATGCTTCTCTGTCTTCTGGCTTGAATAAATGACAATACATTTATTCTTCTCTTTGCACTCTCCAGTCATAATAGGCAGGCCAGAAAAACCTATCATTTCCACCTGCCCCCCTTGCCATCCTTTGGTGCTCCAGTGGAAATAGCTCTTCTCTATTTCTCCTCTCTCACTGGTGCACATATAGTAATTTAATACAATTTTGTACAGGGCAGTTTAAAAAAAACCCCAGAGATTCTGTGTCTCACTACACTGCTCACACCTGAATGGAACATTTCCTGCCTGTAATTTTCTTTTAAGTAAAAGCTGCGTGGCAGTTCCTCATATTCTGAGCAAAATGTGGGCCTTGCTTGTATAAAGACTGCTTAAAATACTGTGGAAATTGGCTAGAATCTTATCATTTAAGGTCTGTATTAATGCTGGTGTCCTTCCAGGACACTTGTCACATTAGGTAAGGATGTGGATAACATTTTAAACTCTGTGGGGGTGTATGGAGGACTGTTTGCTGTTGCTTTTTTATTCCTTGATCCCATTCAGGTACTCTGGATGCCCAAATGAATCACTCAATATATGATAGGAATCTGAGCAGAGCTGATAAAGAGGGAATATTACAGCATCTATATACTATTTTATGAGCCAGTTTTTCTGAGGTTTTCACTCTCCAGAAGCCTCTCAAAATTAGTTTCCTGCTAGCTGTTGCTACCTTAACATCATTTTAAGGCTCCTGGCATTTCTCTAGGGTCTGTTCTGCTGCTACAGGGGCAGGAGGAGCCTCTTGAGCCTCAGCCCAGCCTCTCCACAGACCTCCAGGGGGATGTTCTAGCTCTCTTCAATTTTGTCTTAGTGGATTTTCAAAGTGTTTGGCTGGAAAAATAACTTGTCTCTCACCTGAGAGGCTTTCTGTCATCACTGTGGTGTTTGGGACAGCTCACTTTTGCTTTTATCAGGCTTTTATCAGTCACAGGAGGAGCTGATGCCTTGAGTGACACCAGAGGGAGAGGTGGGCTCCTTGTCACAGTTGTTTATCATTCTCTCTCTGGGTCTCTTCTGCTCATCACTGTAATTCCACCATCTGTTTATTAACTCACCAGGTACACACTGAAATCTGCTCCAGTGATTGAGTCTCTTCGTAAAAGCAGACACCAGAATTTACAAAATAAAACTAACCCCAAATCACAAAACAAAGGAAAACAACAGAGACAGAAGCACTAAACAATGAACTGAATCAAAAAAACCTGTCAAATTGTTGGAGTGGAGATACTCAGGTGTGAAAAACATGATAAATAATTACCTATTTAAATAAATCCATATATGGAAGCTTCTCCAGCATGAAAGACACTTTGAAATTTTCAGATTTACAGTTCTAAGACAGACTCATCAAAGAAAAGCTCTACAGGTATTTTGCTGTCTCAGTATTTATTACTGGAGCTGACTCCAAAATAGTTTCAGTTAAATATTCAACAGCAGGAAGTCCTACTAGGAGAAAGAATTTTCTGGAGCTTTAAAATCATAAGAAATGAAAACATCTTTGTTCTTCAGCTGAGGCTGATCTTGGGCTGGAGCTGTTGTACAAATGTCACATCAGGCTCTCCACTGATTTCCTTGCAAACACAAAGTTCAGTGTGGGCATGGAAGTGTGGGATTCATTTGTGTGTAACACACTCTGGAATGTGTTCCTGGGATGTAAAGAGAGTTCCCATGTAATCATAGAGGAGACTCACCAGTTCCAAAGTTTTTCACTTCCTATATGGAGATAA